TCAGTAATTATAAACTTAAAATCATATTTACTACCATTATGAAAAAATACTGGAATAATTTTGAATCCTTTCCTTCTTTTGTATTACAAGATTGACAAGCAGCTCCTCTATATTTCCAATTAAAATGATTATGTTCTCTTACTTTTTCATCATCACCATCAAACTCTTTATTACACATATAACAACTTGATGAATTAATATAATCTATTTGTTCTTGATAAGTAAGTTTATGTTGTGATTTCTTACAATAATTTAAATTTTAATCTATATGATAAAATTCCTTTACAATATCTTCAACAAATCTTTCTTTTGCATCTAATCCTGTATAAATATAATAGGGACAACAACATAAATCTGGGTAATCAGATACTGCATATAAACCAAATGAACATACTTCTTGTTTAAATTTTTTCTCTGTATACGATTCATTAGGATTTGGTTGACAAGAAAACCTTGGAATATTTAATGATTCAAAATCTGCATAGAAAGCAATAGGTAATTTAGATTTAAAGTGATGATTTTTAAATTTGAAAATATAATTTTATTCAGTGGGAAGAATAGGTTTTGATAATGGTTGATTTCTACAATCTTTTTGATGATTGATTAATGCTTGAGAAGTAGTATAAGATTGTAAACATCTTCTACATAAATATCTTCTATTGCCTTTACTAGATAAAATTGCTTCAAGATTTTTAATTAAACAATAATGTGTTATTCCTTCATTTTCAACATATAATAAACCAATAAAATGATCTCTATTTGAATGGTTTGTAATATATATCGGATATAGGGATTTTAAATTTTTTGGATCTTGAAGAGCATAAACATTTATACTTATATTATCATTACTTTTTTCAAACTTTGGAATATCATTTATTTTAACAGGATAATCAATTTTTTCCATATTAATGTATTTTCCATATTCTCTATAATGATATACTCTTTCTGGGTGAGATTTAATTTTTACATCAGTAGCTATAATACACCATAGAAAACATTTGTCATCCTTGTTTTGTATATTTAGAATGTTATTATTTTTTTTAAAGGGAAGTTTAAAATAAGATGGTTTTACTTTTACAATACTTAATTCAGTTTGATTAATATGATCGAAATTATATCCACTTCCTTTTTGTTGAAAACTATCTACCCAAGCAATAAATTTTTGTTATATTGTATTACATTTTTCTTCAAATTGATTCATTGAATTTAAATTAAAATAACCAGAATTAAAATATACCACTATATCACTATAATTTATTGGATGAGTGAAAACACAATCAATAGTGAACTTAAACTTAATTAATGTATAATTGTCTAGAATTCTTTCTACATGAGAATAAATTTTATTAAAATAAGTATTTATATTTGTTCCTCTTTTTGGAATTGTATAAGTTATTAAAACATTTTTGAATGTGTTTTTTGATTTAGAAATTCTGTTTTTCAATTCTTTCTTTTTATGTGTTGTTGATTTTTCATGTTGTGTTAGTTCTTTTATAGTATTAAATGTTTCATTACAAATTAAACAATATAATTTTGCATTTTTACTTTCCATTTTTAAGAGAACGCATCTGCTGTGACTGTAAAGTCCGATGCGGGAGTGGCAGTCTTTGCCACACAGGATACACACATATACAGATACAGACGGCAACACATGGTACGCAGATCTTACGATAAAGCTCAGCTGCAGCGGGGCCATTCGCCAGATCTCACTCCATACGAGGTCGATCCACTGACCTTGCTGCGACTGCTGGGCTGCTTTTTGGACCCGAGTCTCGTTTTCGGCGTCCCCTATCTGCTGTATCACCATGTCTCTGCGCTCTTTGGCTGTGACTTTGGCCGTGCCATAGGACACGTCGGACAGTTTGTGTGTACCCCATGACTTATTTCAATTTCAGTGCATCTTGTGCAGATTCTGTCGCATGTAAGACTTTCTGTTTCTTACCTGTCTTTAGAGCGAACTGGACAGCTGCCACCGTGGGGTCTAAAGAATCTTGCAGCATTATCGCGAGTCTTACCTTGATGACTTTAAACACTTCGTTTATTGACTCAAACGGAAGTACCTGCTTAGCTTGTTTAAAATATAGAGCTAAAACGGTTACACAAGGCGGTACCCCAAGCCATTTCCACATGGCTGTGTTGATTTTTTTTTTCTTCATCGCTTCCACTGCAGTCATGCTCACCCCGTACTCGGGCAAAAGCCAGAGGAGCTTTGGAATCAACATGAACTGGAGACATCAGACCTTAATCTTTCCAATCAACCTGCATTGCTCGATCACAAGGAGACCTATTGCCAGTGACTCGTGTATGCGCTGGACTTCCGCTCTATCACATAACTTGGAAGGCTGACTCTCTTCATCAGTTCCTACAGAACCGTGGGGCTCCGATTCTTTGCCACTGTGAAACTGACTGCCGACATCTTACCTTTTAGGATTGAAAGGCTTCTTGATTTCTACGGTTTAAACTGCGTTTCACACCATTCGACAACGCCGTCAAACCTTTTCAGAACCTAGCGGGCATCATCTTCACTGTCCATTATAATAGTTGTTTCATCCATTAATGCACGCAGTGGCGGCATCTAATATCCCTAACCTGAAGGCCTTGCCAGTAGTCGGTAGTCCCGTCTAACATGACCTGCATGGCCATAACACATAACAAACATAATCGGCGAGATCGTACATCCCATTGCTACCCCAACTTGAAGTTCAGTCCATCTCGTTGTAGAGAAGCGTATGGCGAACTTTGCGAAACATTGCACGAGCATTTCGGTAACCTGTGTCGGAACATGCAACAGGCCTGCAACAATAGCTTATAGGGTACCAACCTATAGGCGATAGTCGCGTAGTCAAGGCAAATGGGAACGCCCGGATTCACCGTTCGATGTATTTGTTCGCCATCAAATACAGTGTGAGCCTGAGAGCCATCACCGAGAAGAATATCTTGCCTTTACTATTCAACAGCGAGAAAGGTCTGAATTGGGACAGACTGGAGGAGTCTCGCTCCTTGAGAATGTAGACTCTGTTGGTTCTCTGTCACTGAGTACATATGTGCTTTCGTCTCCAGGCTAATATTAACAAGCGGTGAAGCATTCAGAGAATTTTCTTACAGCGTCTGTACATGACGTACAGTACATCGTTGGGCTCTGGGGCAGACTTGCCGCTAGCTCTCTTTACAACCTCTTAGACCTCAGACCAAGGGGAAGGCATCTTTTTTAACGGTAACTTCGGCAACTCTGGCCGCTTCCGGCCGCAGGTGATCTCTGGGTTGTCATCGAGAGGTTCATTCCTTGTCCGATCGGAGTACATCTCCAGTAGACGTGACTCCAGATTCTCCTTACCGACCACCTGAGTCTCAGACTTTGGTTGCTCGAACTGGTCTTCGGTAAACTGAAACTGGTCCCTAAAGAACATCTCACGCTCCTTTTTGGTTGTCCACCTGTTCCTACAGAAACGCTAGACGCGACAGAGGGCACTGTAGCGGCTCTTTAGGTGCAACCAGACCTTGTACAGCCCTCCCGTTAGCGGCTTTAACCGTTCTTTTTCTGAGTGCATTCTTGTCTGCTCGGCACTTCTGGATGTCTCTCTGCCTTCGGCTTTTTCCTGCCTGACGCCAGGCTGCGTCTTTTCAACTGTCCCGAACTGGATGTCACAGTGATTGCAAAGTCACCAAACCTTGTTAGCTTGTCAACTAGCGACGTTTTCTTAAATTTATTAATAATTTTCTCACACAATTCAACCTCGAGCTTGGATTAGTTAGTTAGTTAGTTAGTTAGTTAGTTAGTTAGTTAGTTAGTTAGTTAGTTGGGTTATCATCATTGCACTCAGGACATGTCCATAGGTGCTCAGATCCTCCCCTCAGTATGAACCTCAACGTCCGATGTCTAATAGTACCAGTTCTATGTTGATTAACAAGTCTTCTGACGTGTCCGGTGTGCGTCTCGTTTTTTGCTGTGCCGATCTTAATTCCCAAGTCTGCCATTCTGGCGAGTGATGTGGATTCACTGCCACCAAAGTCCTCTATCCTTCCCATTTCTCTGATTGGATTGCGACACCCTATCGCGTGCAGGTGGAAACCTAATCCTCGTCTGCACTTCGTCAGAAATCTGTGCGCCTCCGTAAACGACGTCTAGGGCCTCTCCGGTCGAGTTGGGTTCACCACTAACGAAAGTCAAGGTGTATTTTAGGACAAATCATAATACAAGTATCTAGGCGCATGGATAACATTCGATGAAAGACTATCACGAGAAAAAGAAAAGAAAAAGACACACCTAAACTGAATTTTTTTAATGAAAAACATTTTGTGCAATAAATCCATGTCTTTGGAGGTTAGGAAAAGAATTCTCGCAAGCTATATAGGGCGAGTTTTAACATACGGTTGTGAATCCTGGACAGTTAATAAACAACCTGAACAATATATGTAGGGCTCTAAGATTTGATTTTACAGAGAATCTTAAGAATTCTTTGGATATCTAAGAAAAACAAATATCAGAAAGAGACAGTCATCAATTTTTTTTGTCGTGCTATGAGAAGAGGGAAACTTGGTCATGTTGTGACCACTGAAAGTTCCGTGGAAAGAGAAACAGAGAAAGACAGCTCGAGAAGGTACTTGACAGCCTTTTTTTTTTTTTTTTTTTTGGTCATGGCATCGAAGGGTTTCAATACACGAACTGATAAATGCTTTGTAGATCGCCGATTGTGGAGAATTCCCAATGCAAGTCGACAAGGCACTTGATGATGATATCATTTATTGCTATGCAGGAAAAATACGGAAAGTGTGTGTCCGCTGGAGAAGCAGGATGTAACCAAGTGGTGATTCCGCAAGTCATTCAGAGTCACTAAGATCAGATCAAAACGGGCAATTTCTCCTCAGTCCACAACAAAGACTTCATCAAGCCGAAGGCACAAGACACTTATTTCTATAGTTCACCATCATGTTTTTTATGTTTATTTAACTAAATATTAAGTTATTACATATTAAATATTAAATACCAATTTTTTTCCCAGGTGATCTAGTTCAGAGTAGACCACTACCTTCTTTACCCAGTGCGTTCTCCTACAGACTGGAAACTGTTGTTCCTTCCTCGAGTACGGTTGAAGAAACCTATGTAAGTCTCATGATCTCTCACGCGGTTTCTCATTATGTGTTTATGAGACATATGTTGTGAATTAGTTTCTCGTTATGTGTTTATGAGACATATGTTGTGAATTAGTTTCTTGGTATGTGTTTATGAGACATATATTGTGAATTATTTTCTCGTTATGAGTTTATGGGACATATGTTGTGAATTAGTTTCTCGTTAGGTGTTTATGAGACATATGTTGTGAACTAGTTTCTCGTTAGGTGTTTATGAGACATATGTTGTGAATTAGTTTCTCGTTATGTGTTTATGAGACATATGTTGTGAACTAGTTTCTCGTTAGGTGTTTATGAGACATATGTTGTGAACTAGTTTCTCGTTAGGTGTTTATGAGACATATGTTGTGAATTAGTTTCTTGGTATGTGTTTATGAGACATACATTGTGAATTATTTTCTCGTTATGAGTTTATGGGACAAATGTTGTGAATTACTACCTAGTAGCTATTTCGCAGTTTGAATAAATTTTAGCTGCATTGAGATCGGACATTAAAACAGTGTATTTTCCTATAAGTGCTTCGTCCGCATCTTCAGTAGCCAACTCAAAGTTATATTTCCACTAGTACCAATACAAATGAAAAATTATGTGGGGAAAATAGGATATTTCATTTGAGCAATAACACACTATACAATTAGTTTAATTATAATTGTTGCTTTTAACTTTGAATATGGAACGGTAAATCCTCCTACCAATCAATTCATAAAATAAATTCCTAAATTTAAAAGTGAATGGAAAATGTACAATTTATTTTCCGGAAAACTGCGTGTTTAAACTCATTCAGATCCGAAGCATTGATTGTCCACACTGACGACTCAGAAACAATCTAGCAAAGTCAGCGTTATTATCCTGTAGAGTGTTTGCTTCTCACAGACTCAATAGGGATTTAAAAATAAATTATCATTTGCTTTCTTACATCCCAGAATCCAGTGGGTGTGCAAGGCGGATACTAAACGTCAACCTCTGTGGAGATGTATTATGTTAGAATATACTTCGATCATGGTTGCCTACACTTAGATCATGGTTGCCTACACTTAGATCATGGTTGCCTACACTTAGATCATGGTTGCCTACACTTAGATCATGGTTGCCTACACTTAGATCATGGTTGCCTACACTTAGATCATGGTTGCCTACACTTAGATCATGGTTGCCTACACTTAGATCATGGTTGCCTACACTTAGATCATGGTTGCCTACACTTAGATCATGGTTGCCTACACTTAGATCATGGTTGCCTACACTTAGATCATGGTTGCCTACACTTAGATCATGGTTGCCTACACTTAGATCATGGTTGCCTACACTTAGATCATATTTGCCTACACTTAGATCATGGTTGCCTACACTTAGATCATGGTTGTCTACACTTAGATACAAACTGTTGAGGTTAGAAATAGACAGATAATCTGCCGTCGATAATGTTAGTTATCTCATTGTTGAGAGATTGAAACCGTATGTCAACGAGAAAACATGTGATTCAAAACATGAACATCACAACAAACAGAAAAATATTACTAAAAAAGAAAATTACAATCACCCCCTTCCTGTCCCCATTAAACGTTTACATACATAAGTAATGATTCTAATGCGGAAATAACAATTGCCTTCACACTTCTTTATTACATCTTGACCCCTTTGTAGGTTACGGTTTTGATGTGAAGTACATGTTTCCCAAGGGCGTCAGTGTGTTCGCTTAGTAAATGAGGATTCCCAATACCCTTTTACTATCTTTGTCAATTGTGTGCACAGTCTGCCTCACTTCGTCTGTACATCCTTGCTCATTGCTGTATGCTGCCTGTTAGGAAAGGAATTCAATGGCAGAAACAGTCACTGGTTTTAAAATATCTATCGCTTACACAACTCCCATTTCTATCAGCGAGACGCTTTAATTTCAAATATAAACTTGAAATCATAACATTAAAAAAAAAGCACTGAACGTTATTTATATAACATTTTAGCTTACTGATTATTGAAAACCGAGGTGTAACCCAATAATGAAATTGCTTACAGTATTTTCAAAACTACCATTATGGTAATTAGACGAAAACTAATTCTGGGAGAATGCAACATTATCATAAATGGGTCTAGGCAGAAGCAAATTAACAAGTTTACTTTTTTGTAGGTACATTGATACCGTCATGTAAAAGTTATATGTCCAAGCTGGACATATAGATGACAAATAAAGTTCTGAAGAGCTTTACTTCTTCTTCTTCTTTCGTTCGCATGAAATAAATTATCTATATATGCAATGCTGTCTCTAGTATAAATTTCACTGTCTTTTGTAATTCACTAAGCGGCCCATAAAGTTTGACTTCCACAAGTGTCTCTTTTGGCCAGAAGTTTTGCCTTGAAGCGTTGAATCTGGGACAATCTTGGAGGATGTGATCTGTTGTCTCAGGTGCCAGTCCACAGGTACACATGGCTGATTGGCCAATCCTAAATTTGTTGTACATGTGGCAGCAAAGTCGACTGTGACCTGTTCTAAGGCGAAGGATAATGACTTGCTCTGGTCTGTCCATAATATGATAATCGTCTTGTGCCAGTTTCGGTGGCATTCTGATTGATTTAATCATTCTCTTCTTCTGTTGATAAAAGACTGGTATGTCAGGTTGTTCTTCAGTTGCACCTTCCTTAGCTAGTTTATCAGCTCTTTCGTTTCCGGGAACTCCACAGTGGAAAGGTATCCACTCATTATCATCATCATGTAGCAGGTCCTTTACAGAACGTCGCTCTCATCACAGTCTGCCTGTAAGAAACTCGGTCTCTTGCCAGTTCTCCCGCCTCATGAACTTTCACACTCAAGGAGTCACTTATATCCTGTGCCCATCTTTGTGTCGGTGGACCTCTGCCCCTCCTTCCTGGTACCATGCCTTCTGCTATAATTTTTTTTCCAATCCGTCGTGGCGCTTGATATGACCAAAATATTTCAGCTTTCGAGAAAGGATGCTGTTTATTAGCCAATCTTCCTTGATGTTAAGATCTTTTAAGATGTCAATATTTCTTATCTTCTTTGTCCAAGATATTCTGAGAATCTTTCTATAGCATTTCAGCTCAAAAGTTCCTATTCTCTCTCTTAAGGACTGTAAGATAGTCCACGACTATCCACTGCATTATTAATTTACAACGGTTGCCTAGTTCGGATAATAGTGTCCGTATGCTTGGTAATTTTCCAGACTGGAGTGCCTGAAGTACAGCTTTTGCATCTGCCAGGAATACCACTGATTGTGAAAAATACCCTGTGTTTAGTAGTTTCTCTACCGCTATCTTTATGGCTTGAACTTCTGCATCATAGTTGTGACAGTGCTTTCCTGATGGTATTTTGGCTGTATCTCTGGTATTATTAACTCAATGTACATTTCTGCACCTCCGTTCCTGACTGCACTTTCTGCTGACCCATCTGTGTAAATACGGACCCAAAGATTCTTGGGTATTCATCATCAAGAAGACTGAGGGTGGCTGTTTTGCGCTGCACACTGTTTTGTTCTTCCTTGTCAAATACTCCTTTCACTTCTGTCTTGATGTGTATTGGAAACTTATACTCCTCTCTCCAGGCTCCGTTCTGGGACAGCATTTAAGGATCTATCAGTTGCATTCAAATCAGAGGTTTGTCTGCATAGCCGCTTGGCCTGGTGGATGAAACTACTTCTCTTTAGTCGTCCTAAAGCTAGATTTTGGAATCTTTCATTTATGGGGTGAATGGGCATACTAAGAAACTTTTCTGCTTGTAAAAGCATCTTGGTGTCTCTGCGTTCACTTAGTGCTTGGATCATCCCCATTTTTTCTCCATCACAGCTAAAGGTGTTGATTTTATACTGCCTGTGGTAACTCTGAGTGCTTGATTTTGCACTTTGTCTAATTCTTGCAATGTGGTTTTTGCTGCCGAACTCCATGCTGTTGATCCGTATTCAAGATGTGGTCGAACACTTTGTTGGTAAACTTTCCTAAGTATTTTCCCGCTACCACCCCATGTGGTCCCACTTAGTTTTCTCAGAATGGCTACCCTCCTTCTGATTTGATGGCTGCCTTGTTGATGTGTTTTCTCCATGTTAACCTATCATCAAACGTTACTCTGAGGTATGTGGGATCCTTATCCTCTCACAGGGGTACTCCATTTATGTGCATGACGCCTGATTTTTGTTTTAGAGAGAGGTTAAAGAGGGTGGTGCTGCATTTGTCTATGTTGATGCTGACACATCATTTGTCGGCCTATTCAGCCATTGCATCTATGGCTCTTTGTAGCAGTCTGGTGGCCACTGTTGCGTGTTCATTTGTACACCAGAGTACCAAATCATCAGCATACATTGCAGCTTTAATTCCATGAGGTAGTACAGAAACCAGGTCATTGATATAGTAGACTATAAAGAGTGTGGGGGACAGGACACCTCCTTGTAGGACGCCATGTCGCAGCAAAACTTTCTTACTCCTAAGTCCATCTATCTGTACTCGGGATCTTCTGTTATACAAATATGCTTTCACCCATTTGTACATACTTCCATTCACCCTGCAGTCTTTCAGAGCTATACTGATCTAATCCTAATGGGAATTAGTCATGGCTCAAAAGATGGTTTTCGTTCGTTCATTCATTTTCATGCAGTGACATTATTTGTCACATGTTGCTCACAGTCTACTTTCCTATTCCGTTCTACTCTATGCAGTAGCTTATATTACAGATGGAATCCACTCCATCACATTTGACTTTTCTCATCAACGTTCGCTTCAAGGCTTTTCTTAGACATACTCGTTTCCCCAATACCTTTTCTCCAACTTCAGTGCCTATGGTGGAAACCAGACCCCTTCTCAACAACCAGCACCAGGTGCTAGAGTGTCAAACCGAGCCACTCGTTTTGGTACAATTAACACTTCTTATCCAACTTAACTGGCACGAAAAAAAAAAGCAACCAAAAAAGTATAGCCAATACTGCTCGCAGTATGTCGAACGTGGTCGATTGTTTTTGGGTTCTATTTTCATAAATGTACGGACGAAAGGAAGTTGCTGCTTGGTGTTTCTCTGTTTCTTCTCAGAATGTATCAAGTATAGAGCCGCATTTTCTGTCATAAATATTGATACAAGTGATTAACCAAATACTTCTTTTTTCTTAGGCCCTCTTGATTTCATCCCAATTTGTGTTCACCAAGCAATGCAGAGAATACAATAAGTAAGCTGGTTAGGCAGAGGTTATGTTGAAGTTGCATAGATGTGGCAGTAAAGTTAACGCAAGGTTGTGCTTAGTCACAAATACAAATGCCTTTTGGATACACACAGTATGAATTATAATAAGCTTAAGAACATGAACTGCACCAGTCAATTAAAAAAAAAAAGTTTTTTGAGTATCCTTTAAAGGACGGTCCAGAACTACCACCAGCATGTTTTGGCTTTTTGAAATTTTACTAGGCAATGTTTACGTTGAGTTCTTTGCCATTGCAACTCAATGTCGGCTGTCGATACCACTGTCGAAACCAATGCAAGGCTGTCTGCTGCCAAATCGCCAGCAGCTAGAATCGAACCTGGCTCCTCGGTATTACAAAAGGCGCTCAAAGGTCCTGAGCATCAGACTGTCTATAGTTTCTTCTATATAGTCTGTAGATGTTTTTATTATTAGATAACTGAGGGATTTGTGAAGAAATGAACACAAATAATAAACAATGTTTAATTTAATAAACCTGTGTATGTTCCATCAAAAAATATTAATTGTATGACAAATCACTTGATTTTGACTTCCAGGTTTGGTACGATCAAAGCCTGGGTCTAGTGAGATTCGATACAAGAGACCCGTATAGTGACGAACCATACACGATTACACATATTCATGACTTTAGCATCGGTGAGTACTTGTACCGGTGTAAACATATAGCTGACGGTCATTAAATGGATGACAATTTCAATAATTTTTAGTAATTATAAAGGGGAAAAACTATTATGCCCTACAACATCTGCTAAAATCTAGTGCTCATTCTTTTTTTTTTAAACGCAAAGATCACATGGTGCGACGTCCGTTGCTTAGGCGTTGCTAGTCCGACTCGTAATCCAACCTACTGTGATCGAAACCCACTGCTGGCTGCGTGAATTTTTATCATGGTATGGGGCGTCGCAGGTCGACCCAGCCTAAAATTGGAACCAGGATGGCTGTCCTGGGGAAGTAAAGACAGCTGGCGTAATGATGACCACATTACCCATCCAGTGCCGATTGGTCTGTAAAAGTATGGGACGCTTTTCCCATATACCCGATACGCATAAGGCGTGAAAAGGGATCTTTATCTTTACTTCACTAGATCACATGATATAAAACATTGATGAGACAAACTGTCATATATGGCCATGAAATCTGAAGTTGGTATCAAGCAGGGTGAAAGATAAAAAAATACATGTTGCAAAAAGCAAAAGACACTGCACCGGGGCCAGACGGACTGAGGTATGACCACGTGAAAGCATGAGTGATGAAGACTTGAGGTAAATGGCTCTTCAGTTCAACCAGAGCACCAGAACAGCTTCAATACCCTAGGATTCGGTACACAGTTGACTAATCTCACTTCCAAAACCAGGCAAAGATCATTCTAGACTCATCGGTTTTAGGATTATCAGGCTACAAAATACGTTTGGCAAGGTGCTAGAGAAGATTGTTGCTGTTAAACTACAAATGTTTCTAGAATAAGAAGAGCATCTGTCAGAAGGTTTGGATAGTTACCGGTCAAAACCTGGGTCAAATGCAGCTACTTTTGCTTTTGATGTTTATGAGGGGTTCCAGAATAGGCAAGAGAAGGTAATGGCGGCACTTGATCTTGAGGATGCCTACAATAGAGTTAGATATAATATTTTGAAATCTGCGCCTATGGAGAAGGAGGTTTGTCCCTGGCTTGTGAACTGGATAGCAGATGTCCTGCATTAACGTATGGTTGCTCTTCGCCTGGGTATATGGACCTCAGAACAATGTAATTTCGCCCCGGGACTTTTCCATTGTTCTGAAATTTCACTAGTTCTTTTCAATGTGTATACATGTAAGACTGCAGATCTTGAAACACTAGGTGTTGGTAGGATATTGACATTTGCAGATAATCTTCTTGCATACAGGCAGTGGAGCGTTAGAAACAGACAGCCCAAGAGCTAACCTCCTAATTAATGACAGAAACATCAAAATAGAAAAGAAACTCATGTACCTAAGTATCACTTTCATAGAAAATTGACCTTTACGAATCATGTGGAGGCAGTTGTGGTGAAATGTCAAAAAAGACTCAGTGTTTTCAGAATTATGGTTGCAATGAACAGGAAACAACGAATAATGTTCACAATGTTTCAACATGTGATCCTGTCAGTAATAGATTATGGGCTTGGAATGCTTACCACATCAAAGAGTCAGCTTATAAAACTTGAACGCATACAGAATGAAGCCATGCATGTATTTAGGGATGTACAAGAGATATCCAGGTAGTATGTATGAAGTATGTACTTGCACTGCCTATTATTGCAGTCAGGCTCAAAGTTCTGTAAGCAAAGTCATATCTAAGAATAGCTGCAGACACGAAGCACCACCTGCATAAAGTCCTAGTTAGAGCTAAGGGTCTTGGCCAATTTGGCTGAGGAGAGAAATGGGTCAAAGTGTTCGAGCAAGAATTGGATTTGAGTAGGGATCTGATCACTGTGGGTCTGGAGTGTAGGGACTGGCCGGCTGGTGCTGCAGAATCAGAAATTCAACAAATGATGTGATTATTCATACAGGTGGTACTTTGCTGAGACGAAGTGCATGGGAGTTCATAGCAAACACGAATGGACGTCGCTTAGTGCAGCAAAGCCTGGCATATGATACACGTATCAAAACATCTAGTTTAAGAATGGAGGTGGACGTAGTCACTGTTGCCTTGCGCTGGCTTGAAAATCAGTTGTAGACACATTTCGTAATTGTTATTGACCAACAGAGCATGTTCAGAAAGGTGGAGATATGCATGCTCTGTGCAGTTTGGCAAGAATTACTTCAGAGGTCTCAGGTAGTTAGCGTCCTTTGGATATTTTCTCTAGGATATGCCGATGTGTTGTGAAACGAGCGGGCAGATACAATCGCTAGTTCTGCACTATTTGGTGGTGAACTGATGTATAACAAGCTAGGTGTTATGAGGGCCCTTTGGGACCGAGTGAACAGTGCAGCGGCACAAATAGATCAATACGGTCTGTGGTGATTGGCGCTGCGAGATATTACCAGAGGATCTAGCCAATGCTCAACACTCAAGGAAAAGACGAGACGGATTTACAGTCAGTCAGTTACTGGTGCCAATAGAATTGGAACTCTTCGCTTGCTTCTGAAGGCGGAGACGGAACGCTCGTCGGAGTGTCCCGATGCTTTGACGTTGACTGTTAATTCAACATTCAGCCTGAAGCCTGGAGAACACTAAAGAGACAAAGTCTTATTACTAAATTATTATGATATCTTATAATGAATCTTGCAACCCAGGTATCAAATTAAGGAATGCACTTATGAAGCTTTTGCTTTATAGTAAGCACACTATTAACTACCTGCATACAAACGTAACAACACATATTCAATGTCAATTGCAAAAAGCACAATGCATATTACCCACAGTGGCAGTCAGGTAATCATTTGCGTGATAATCGTCTGTTCTAAATCTGAACTTTCATCTGTTACCAGGAGTGGCATATGAGATAAATCAGGTTACCGACAAATGCACTGTATCACCGATAGCTAGCTCTGGCCTGTTTGATGTCACCACGGGAACAGTCTCATCGACCAGAAATGGTGGACTCGTTGTGACCATGAGTTCACCAAATGCATTGTTCTTTTTGGATGACACTTATACATATGTTGGCCAGGTAAGCTGTCAATAGATATTGTTTTTTTTTAAATAGATAGAAAACTGTGTACCTGTTCCACCTGGAACACCATTTATAGAGAGTTTCCCGTGTGCACTGTTGTGTGTTGTCATAGTGCAGTCTTTGAGTCTTATTCCAGTTGACGGTGATATTTTCTTCCTCGTATAGCATTGTAATTTACTAATCCTGTTCACTTTTCTGTACCTACAACTTTTATTAACGACTCGTCTTTTTCTGTCCTCACAATCTTTATCAAAGACGTGTCTCTTTCTGTCCCTGGCACATTTTAATTATCTGCTAATGCTCAGATAAATTGTTTTCTACAATCTCAATTGTTGATTTATTTTATCTACAGACATATTATTCTGCTTATTGTCTCTTGAAAAACGATTTATTTACACTTTGGGTACTTTAACACCCCCCGGACTGAATTGCCAGCGCAGTTTCATTGAAACTTCTAGGAGGTTGAACTGCTTACACAGTATTATCTCCAACCCCCTAGTTATAGCCCCTGGTACTCCATAGGAGGTATTTATTCCCCTAGGCCACGCGTGTCTGCAGTCAGCTGGGAAGTCATTGATCGGACTGCTTTGAGATACCAGCTAAGTGATTTTGTGTATTTGTATAGTTTTGTTAGATTTGTGTATGTGCTGATGAAGGCTCCATAGCCGCAAAGGTTCAGGTTTTGTTTGTATTTGTTATATCGTGAAATTTACTAATATACTTTTCGTTCGTTTTTAAATCTTTCAATGTACAACCGAGGAATGTGAATCTATCCACACCCTTGCATTTCTCGTCATTTACCAGAATTGTTGGTTTCGACTGACCGTTTTTCCTGGTCATCTGTTTGATTGTAACATAAGTTAGTTTGTCTTACTACACATTTACAAGCCTTGTAAACTTTTCAACATACACAACTGTCTCTAGTAGAACTTTAATGAACTTAAGAAATTTCGTATCCAACCAGATCTTTTCAACTTTTACAAACAAGTAGACGCTTTTCAAAGAAAGTCTGCCCAACTAAGCTATAAGCATTCTATTTTTATATCTGTCCACCTGACTGCCTCTTATAGAGCTTTCACTAACTTAAGCATGTTATCCAACAGGCATCTTTTTCAACATTTGCTCATAGAGCGAAACGCCGACTTTGGTAATAAGGGATACTTTTTTTTTTCAAAGTGGTTACTAGTGAACATGTCAGATCTTTGTCTAAACTGTAAACATTTTTTCAACATTTGTCAGCTTTTGTTTAGTCGACGTATTTCTCCTCTGTAACGCTGAAGTTTCGTGGTAAGTCATCTACTGTCCCTTGTACACTTTAAGCCACTAGATGTCTCTTCCCCCTGGAACACCTTGACGTTACTTTCACAGGTCACTCCAAGTGATTCGGCAAGAAACAATAAATATTTTTTTTTAAACATTCTGCCCGTCTAAACAACTAACCGTCACCTTCAACTTTTTCTTTTCTATCCGACTGACCGTTTTCCCCAGGTCATATGTCTGATTGTAACATAAGTGACTTTGTCTTATTACACGGTTACAAGCCTTGTACACTTTTTAACATACACCACTGTCTCTGGCAGAACTTTAAGGAACTTAAGAATTTTCTAATCCAAGCAGATATCTTTTCAACTTTTACAAACGAACGGTGCTTTTCAAAGAACAGTCTGCCAAACTAATCTTATAAGCGTTCCATTTTTCTATCTGGCCACCTGACTGTCTCTAGTAGACCTTTCAATGACTTAATAATTTTATCCAACAGACATATTTTTCAATATTTGCACATAGACCGACATGCCGACTTTAGTAATAATGGATACCTTTTCAAAAGTGGTCACTAGTAAAAGTGTCAGATCTGTTTCTAAGTTGCAAACATTTTTCAACCTTTTTCAGCTTGTGTTCACTGAGTCTATTTTTTCAGTAGGAATACAAAGACCAACATGTAAACTTTAAACAGATAGATCAACTTTCACAAACAAGTAGAGGCTTTTCAAAGACCAGTCTACCCTACTAATTCTCTAACCGTACCTGTTTTTTTAATTTTATTTTTGTCGCTTTTTAGTTGTCTTTCATCTTGTTGGTCATTTAAAAAAAAAAAAGGGGGGGGGGGGGGGAGGGAGACTTACTTACATTTCAGAACATTTCACATTTACATTTGACGTTTGCTTCACGGTCGTTCAACCGTTCTTGGTACACTTTAAGAGGCTCCATGTCTTTCTCCAGCAGACACCGATCGATGTCTTTCTCCTTTGTGACATCCTAATTCACGCGTTCATTGAAGTTTCTGTGTGTGATAAAACAACTACTAGCCTTGGTCCTTGGGACATCTCAAGTCACTCGACGTATTTCTCCTCTAAAACGCTGGTTTCGTTTAAAGTCATCTGCTGTCCTTGGTACACTTTAAGCCACTAGATTTTTTTTTTTACTCTGGAACACCTTAAGTTACTTGATGCTCAGTTCAGAAGTCACTCCTAGTAATTCTGCAAGGAAAAAATAATTAAGACGAAGTCGCAGGGGCTGTGCCTCAATCAAAGGTTGCTGTGATCTCGTCCTAATTATTATTTTTTTCTTGCAGAATTACAACATCCCGAATTGATCTACAGGTTTGCCAGCTGATTTTGCTCTCAGATTTGTCTGTTTTTTAAATAAAGAGTGTATATATTAGCAGTGTACCTAAAAATGAGTGATATGCTACACATTTTTATCGCTTTGCAGAGCACCACAAGAGGTATTCTATGTGACGTATTTGAGTCTAAAAGAGGAGACTTCGATATGGAGTATTACAATACGACCACACAGGACACTGTTTTTAAATATTATTTCCAAGCTGTAAGCATAACTGTTTGTAAATTATATGTGACTACTGTGATGTATATTTTTATTTCTGAAACCCATGTTGCATAAGCTAATTTATTCAAGTTAACCAGTGATTTGGTAACTCTTTTCTCAGACATCCAGTCTTACTTGTGCTGCGTTTTCTTTCATGTTCTTTAGTTGAAAATCGTCATATTACCAACTTTTGAATGGCATTATTTCTTGTTTTGAGCTCGAGCAGTTATTTAATATAATGCCCTTTGGTACATATCACAAAACGTACCCCATCTCATTGAGGGCGATATTTTATACAGGCTGTCCTGTGTTCTGTGGTTGCCATGTTTTTTTTTTTTAATTTTCAACACTGTAAGCATTCTATGTTCCATGTGCTGATCGGGCAGCATGCTCTATTCGCCACGTTGCGTTGTTCGTTCTCTCTTCATCACTATCACTACGACCTTGCTTGATGACTTGACTTATGGTCCACCCAAAAATTTCACCAATTCTCAAAGCAGTGACGGTTGCTTGAAAAGATCTGTTGACAGGGAAAAGAGAACTAGCTGAACTTGGACACTCGTTCGCGCGAGCGCGCTCACACATACACACACACACACCAACACACAAACAGTCTCTCAATGTCGGCAGCCATGGTAGACAGCCACATACTTTCGAACGAACGGGAGCCGCTTTTCAAAACGGTGTGTATAAATGGTGAAGGCTAAGGGACGCATATCCTAACATCCCTACAACTTGGGATAGCCTATGGGAACCGTCACGACATAAATGGGAGCCAGCACAAAATCTCGCTCCTGACGAGACAGATCTTTGTGTAAAAAAAAAAGAAAAAAGCACTGGTTTTAGCAGATGTAGGGCATAATAGTTTTGCGATCTGTACCTGTCTTTGTATGTTTATCATCAAATATTTTCTGAAATTTATTTTTTAAACAAATAGAAACACAAACTATTATTGTCTGACATATTTCGCTGCATCTTATTAGGTGCAAAGTGTTTTTAGTTTGCTCGTTACAAATTAATTCCTTGTCATGTGGTGAGGATGAGAATGTTTTTTCTGCGGACACTACAGTGTTGTTTAAGTTTTTAATAGGGGTCAGAGGTCGGCGTTTTTTTAAAAATAATAATTAGTCTTAGGGCAATTACTGAAACACTAACCCCCCCCCCCCCCCCCCCCCCCCCCCCCCAAAAAAAAAAATTTAAACTTAAGAGAATATAGCATTGATGATACGGTTTTTGTGCACTGTGCTTTGAGGTAGAATTGGGTTCCCGGTTGGCAGTTTCAGGTACGAGAAGACTGTGCTTGAAAAAAATCAAACAAACTGTCGTTATTCCTGATTGTGCTCATGATGTATGTATATGCTGATTAAAGTCCGTTCCAGAAGTCGTGCTCAACTTTAAACCAAAAAAAAAAACTGTAACTGGGTAATCGTTCAGTGTCAGATATTAAAATATGGCATGAGACCTGTTTAAAATCATGTCCTTGTAAAAGAATATTTTTAAATGTAAACAAACATTATAAAATCAAAAGGACCTGTGAAATCTAAGGCTACGTGCACGCGTTTGTGTACAGTTTTCGAAATAATTTTGAAAAACACTGTAAATCTATACCTTCCCTTCTTTTACAGAACAGTTGGACATATAACTCACCACAAGCTTCAAGTTCAACACAGAATCAACCTGTACAGCTGAAAATAGAAGATCGTTCTGTGAGCTGCTTTTTACTGTGGATACAACACTCTGTCAATTTGTTATTACCATGATTGTCTTCTTATTGTCATCCAAAATGCATTGCAGAAAATACGTTTCTACATAAATTCTCCAAAAATATATTATCTGTCATTCTTTACTGTGCTTTTAAACTTGTCCATTCCATCATTTATGTACATCTTTAACACGCCTCTAATAAGGTTACATATTCCAATAATAACAGAATGTTTTCAGAAGCTGTGTTCTGAATATTTGTATTAATAAACACGTAGATAACAAAGAAGAAAAGTACCAGACAGCATGATATAATTCGTATCTTCCGCTAATGGAAGTACATTTTTTATGCCTTTGGCTCATTTGAATTATAATGCATGAGTCGTATTTGTTATAGATCAATCAGCGATCAATATATGTGGTTAACATCTCGTCGGCCGCCATTCCTTTACAGTAGGAATAAACTCACAGGGAGCAAGTACAGCAGGGATCTACCAGTCATCAGTAGAAATTATCCTCGTCGACACGCGTTTCGGCCCACGATTCCTAGACGCATTCGGAGGTGGGCCCTCCTGAGTTCATGAAGCTCAGGGCTGGTTCCCCGCTGCACGGAATTACCGGATGGTGTTTTTCTTTCGGCCAGAGACAAGACGACTTGGTGGTTTTGCAGAAGCTACTGTGAGATAAGAAGCCGCCGTGGCAGCCTAATTAAAGCAGTCAGCATGCCTGGACGACCGAGCGACAAGCTTACGATTGGTTTACCAGACACATGTTGGACTTTTATTAGCAGTTGGCAGAGGAACACTGGCAGACAATTCGGACACGATGGACTTTCAAAGGGGTGAGAAACCCTTTTCCACTAGACACCCGGACCAGGTCACCGAGGCCCGTCCCCTACGTTGTTGCGTTGCGTCCAAAGCCAGCTAGAGGCCCTTTCGGATACCTCTTCCAGTTTTTTTAGTGTTCGTTTCCGTTCATTACCGCGCAATCCTAGTTCTTTAACCACATTGTAGAGCGAAGTGGAAACGAGGCCTCTCGCTCCCACTTCGACGGCAAAGACCCGTACTGTGTAAGCCTCGTTTCTCCTCAGACCGGCTGCTAAATCACTGTATTTCTCGAGCTTATACAGGTGATTCTCCTCCATACGCGACTCAAATGGGACCGTCAGCTCGATCAGGATGAGCTGCCGTTTTTGCGCAGAATGGAGAACTATGTCCGGTCGCAGGCCGGTCTTACGGATCAACTCGGGGTACCGTTCATGGTCCGGCAGATCAACCGCCAGTAACCAGTCCCTCGCAGAGTCTAGCACAGATGGAGCGAATGCGTTTTGGTTGACCTTACCTTTTGGAACCTGCCCAGCCTTGAGGAAACGAATGGGGACGATGCTAGAACTGGCTCTGGCATTAGCCCTCATTCTAGCCTGGTAGACAACGGCTGCTAACTCTTTTAGCACCTTGTTGTGTCGCCAGGTATATCCGCCTTGACTTAGGGCTTTCCTGCACGCGGACAGGACGTGCTCAAGAGTTTGCTTCGATTTACACAACGGGCAAGTCGGATCGTTGGTCGCAGACCATTTAACCATGTTAACACCGGACGGTAATACATCGTACGCCGAACGAACGATAAAGCTCAGTCATCCGCCAGATCTCACCCCATGTGAGTATTCTTGGCAATGCATCTATATAGATCAATCAGCGATCAATATATGTGGTCAACATCTCGTCGGCCGCTATTCCTTTACAATATATTATACCTGGTGCCCATTTTCAGCTGGGTCGACCTGGGAGGCAAGATAATTTCCCCCAATCTCCAGGTGCTGATTTTTACCGCAAACCAGCGGACTGGCAGGTGGGCGTTCAGCCGTACGTGACCACGGTTCTTCTTCCTCCTGGCCAGTAATATTCGATAAGGTAAATCAGAAGGCTCCCATCTACAGTTAGCTACTGCCACTGTAAGGTGTCATAAAATACAAACGCCTTGTCTTAAAGATAAGGATGCGCAACAAAAGCATTTTTGGTATTTGGGAAAACAAAGTCAAATACATACAGTTACAGTTTTAAAAGGTGAATAAAGGTAAAACAAAAAGAAGCTGGGCGCATATTTCAGATTAACTAAAAATAGAGGAAAGGAAAACCAGAGACAATTATCCATTTCGCTTTATAATCGTTAAATGTTGATTGTTGATGTAAGAATCGACATCATAGTACTCAGGACACTCCCAAAAACGCTCCATGCCCATCTTCAGCAGGAAAGTATCTACCATTTTCTTACACACACACAAAAAAAAAGGATAAAAGTACGAACCTCGCAGTTGGCGGGTGTATTTATTTTCACACTCATTTATAAATCATTCACACGCAGCATTAAACAAAATTTCGACAGTGTAAAAAAACAAAAAACACATAGCAAACAGCTAGCCAATGAACCACATTAACTAACAGCATATGCACATTTACGTTTTCCTTCGGTGTTTGGTGTTGCGGTCAAAACGGGACTTATTAATAAACGCGCTTTGTATGCTAAACAAGACTGGTGACAATAGTGATCCCTGAGGTAGGCCAGGGCAAGTGCGCATTGGATCTGTTCTCCGTGTTTCCACACAAAACTGCGTGTGTTACTACTGTACTCTTCTTCAAATAGATTTTTTTGGTTTTGTTTGTTTAAAAAAAATAATTGCTAGAATTATATTCAGCATATTAAAGATTACAAATGCTTACATGTGTTTTTCTCCAGACTGGATCATATTTGATATATAACTTTTATGACTTTGCTGAGCAACACTTCCCAGCCAGGTTTTACGATACAACTCCATGTTACAGTCCAGATGAAAGAAAGAGCTTTGTCATTATTTTTAAAGATCGTAAGTTTGCTTGTATTTTTAAGCCTTTTCGACAGCAACGTAGTTAGTTTAAACTTAAAAGTGAATAGTAAATTTATTGCTATACCAAATAGTTCATAAGTTACTGGTACCAAAGAAAAACTAATCACTACTCTACAATTATACATAAAAAGAAAAAGATATAATGAAAAAATTATACACAATTCATGAATAGTAACATGGATAGGGGTGGGTGAACAATAATATTCTAATTGTAAAACTATTCTGGAGTGAATACGCATAAGACAAATTCAAAATTAATATTAGACCTAGTTTAAAAAGAGGTGGTTTGGCGGTTTTAAAAATAGAGTTAAAATAACTATTTAAAACAAAAGAAAAGTGGGAAAAGATTTTATGATAAGTCGACACGTCTGTCCTAAGCGGAGATTTTTGTCTTTTGCGGCATATTTAAGAACACCTATTGCAAACTAGAGAGATCCTATTCTGGAACGTCTTGCGTACAATAACATTGTTGTTTTGCTGGAGACAAGACTGGGCGATGAGACGCCACCAACCGATAATGCACGTCATAAGACAGGCTCTAATTATTTTGCAACCGGCAACATCTGGATTTGGTGATACTTTAGAAGAGAGTGACCAGTTTGGAGGAACAGATAGATCATTTCAGTCTGAGATTGACGCCGCGAGTGGTTACCAGGGGATCTGACCGACGCCTAAAACTAAATGGAAAGGTCAGACGGATATACAACCAGAAGTTACTGGTACCAGCGAAGTTGGAACTCTTCGTTTGCTGCTGAAGATGGAGTCGAAGAGCTCGTGGGAATATCCCGATTGCTATGATATAGAGTTTTAATTCAACATTTTGAACTTAACATAAGTCTGCTCCTCCTTATTTAGATCTCTACAGTCCTATATTTGTAAATGTGGCAATTAGTCTCCTGAACCAACAACAATACATCTCAGCCTGCCACTCAGATGAAAACACACAGGCGAGCAGAGCACAGGATCGTGTATCGGCAGAGAGCAAGATGCTGCAAACATTTGATGTGGTGAATCGAGTGCACAAGTCAACCCAACAGAATCAATAGTGATATTGTCCTCCTTGAGGGTGATGGTGATGACAAACTATAAGCAGCGCCATCGATGTCTTCTGTACCAGGGTCTGGTCATTTTCAAATATGCGATGTGCCTGAGCTATAGACAGACAGAGACAATAGAAAGGATAAAAAACGAGGCTTGACACGGTATACTTGGATATACAAAAGATACAACATACAAGCGATGAGATATCTTCTAACTGTTTCAACCATGGGAGACGGAATATATATATGTCGAGCACGCACCTATCTCCGAATCAACGCAGGCACACAACATCCACTGCAGAGTTACGTTGAGAATTTAAAGAGTAGCAGGTTAAAAACAAGAAGGTAGTTCAAGCCGAGGACATTATTCAAAAAGTTTGTTCACTCGAGGACATAGATCCCGGCGATGGGTGTCTACAGCTGCCAACACAGTTCCCTTCGTTTTTTTTCGATATGCATCAGACAAGACAGAAAATCAAGACAACAAAATCTGACCGCTGTGGAGGCAAATGTTCTGGCAGTGATTTTTGAGATTTCTCTAGACGGTGATGCTCTCATTTGCAGATAGTTATTATGTTTAACATGTGAAAGGCTAGTGAGTTAAACGGCTCCGTACTGAGGAGAACTGTGAAGAGTGAGTCTGGTACTTTTGCCTTAACTGCAAGTATTCTGACTGTTGACATCGTGGCAATAACTAAGACAGTAAATTGGCTGGAGACTCAGACCTTCATTTAGGTATGCATATCCAGTTATTTAGGAAGTAGGCTCAGGAAAACAGAGATAGGCAGGACTCGAAGACAATCACTGGAGACTATAAGGCGGTCACAACTGACAAAAATAAGTTTCATTTTGTTTCTGCAATGGCATGCAAGGAAACAATGAATGGATTAAGCTGACTGGCTTTCGGGTAAGACTTTTGTGGTTACCAGACAAACCATAGACTATGCTGATATACTGTAATCTCTACGAGAAGTAGAACTTTTTGCGAGACTATAGTAATGACTGAATCTGCAACCATGATCAAACTGCAAGCACAACATGTTAAAAGAGGTGTGGCCAGGTAAACACACTTTGCAGAAAGCCAAAGAATAAAAAACCAACATAGAACTGGTGTTTTCAGCCGCTAGAGGTCGTGGTATCTACTCACAAGCGTATTTGACCACGTCTGGACTGAATGATTCGATGTGCAATGAGGATTATCTGTCAACTAACTAGCTAACTCAGGTGACAGCCAGACCAGTATAGGATATTTCCCTTTAACAATAAACATAGTGCGTTTCGGGCAGTAATCCGAACCTGGAGATGTCCAATCCTCTTCATCTAACCATTTTCACCTTAGAGGAGAAGCTCATGTATCGAGTTTACCAGTCTGCACAACAAGGAAAGCAGAAAGTTATTAGTTTTAAATTTCCACCCATCTATGAAAGCTAGCAACAAGAACATTGTGTAACCCTGAAGAAACAGTTATTATGATGTGTTTAAATAATGAACATGTATGCTTATGTTTATAAAGCGTGAATACTTGAATGTATATTCACTCGTGAAAAAAAAAAAAAAACACACACACACACGCTTTCTGCAACATTGAATCCAAATATAATACTGATACAACTGTTTTATTGTTGATCGTCCTGTGGGTTGTAGGGTCCCATTTTATGACGTGGAAAAATACTCACAGTCACCTAACAAGTATGTCGTAAAAATCAGTGTGCTTCAAGGGCCCTGTGTATGTTAGTCCTCCCAAAGCGGACAAGAGTAAGGTCGACGTTAGGGTGTAGATGCTTTGCAAATTAACAGTAATAGGCGAGGACGATAAAGTGCTACTTGAAACAAACCAGTTTAATATCTCTTCTTCTCTAGAATCTCTATAATTCTAATCTTTCATCAGGACAGTTCTTCAACATTATTCAAGAAATAATCATTTCATTCAATGTATCCCTTTCATTCCTATTTATATATTTCACTTTCAGTAGACCTTAGCATCGCAACGCAACGTTGCGAGCCCTTGAGGGTCACTGCTGCAGATATCACCCGCCTCCGTTCATCTTTCTGGTTGGGCTTCTCTTTTCAGAAGTGTTTGCAGGTCTGTCTAGACAACTCTCCGTCGTCTTCTTTCTTGGTCTTGCTCGTGGTCTACGATCATTCATCTAACTTGTGTATACCGTTTCTCTGTCATCTGATATTATTTCAGTATGCCCCAACCATTTCAGTGTATTAGCTCTCATGATGCCAGTGATCAGTGGCGATTTAAACACATTTTGAAATTCGTTGCCTCTCACTCTCTATTCCCGGCTGTCTGTCACTTTGATGGATCTAAAGATTCGTCGTAAGACTGTTTTTCGAAAATTTGTAATAAGGCTTCATCTCTTTTAGTTGTTCTCCAAGTTTTAGAGGCGTTTTATTTACTTTGATATTGGTGTTGAGGAAATCTATATTACATTTGCAAATGTGAAAATGGTTATTAGTTTTATTAGTTTGGTTCTCTCACTATGCCAGTCTCACATGAACAAAAATGTATGACAGTTGTTTTTTTTAAAAAAAAAACGATAAAGTATCCATCTGTATTTTTATTTTTCCTCAGAGCCGTACCACCCAAACCTAGATGAGGTATCCAGCGCGTTCCTTTCGAGTGCCTTAGACAAGCTGGCAGAATTGACATATACATCTCCGATAAGCTTTCAACGTGCAACATTAACCTATGATGATGATGATGTCTATCTAATTGTAACAGCACTGGGCCACACGTCTCTCATAAGTAAGCACATCAAATGTGTTTTCTTTGTATGCAGTAGCAATTTTACTAACACACTTTAACAGGAAACAGTCTTTAAAAAAAACATTTATTAATTATGTTAAATTTGGATAACTTTGATCGCCCATGAATATCTTTCTATACATAAAGTGTACAATTGCACAGTCGTCCCGGTCTTCTCCTAAAAACACAAGGAGGTCTCAACAAACTAGACGGATTCCATAGTGCAGGCGAAGATCTAAGTATGTGTATGCAAGAGCTCCACATGCTATAACTGTGTCTTCGTGTAAGCATTTCTGATATGGAAATTATGCGTAGGCAGAAACTTATTCGATATGTTATCTTTCTAGCTCAACCCTATTTTTATCCTTGCATCCATTTAAGAAAAACAAACAAGCAAAATCGACCACGTTCAATCCACTGCAAGCAATTTCGGCTGTAATTGTGGTCTGATTTCTTTGTTCTAAATATTTTGACTACAAAATGTTCATCATCATCAAGTGCCTGGCCGACTGGCATGGACGGTCATACCTCTCCACAATCTGCAGTCCGCAACTGTGTGTATCAGCTCGTGTGCTGTTACAAATGACTGTCAAGAATCTTCTTATGCTGTCTTCCTCTGTCTGTCTTTCCACATATCTTTCCAGTGGTCACAACTCGTTCCATTTACCCTCTTCTCATAACATGATAAAAAAAAATGACTGTCTCTTTCTGATATTTATGATAAGTTGTCTTCGAGCACTCGTCTCTTTCAAAACTTCCTGGTTGCTCTTCATAGCTGTCTGAGGAATTCTAAGGATTCCTCTGAAAAACCACATCTCGGAGCCTGAAAATATTGTTTGGCCTGTTTAATACTTGTCCATGCTTCACAGTTAGGAATTGTTACTGCACTAAAACTATGACTTGATGCTAGTACACTTTAGTGCTAATGGAGAATTGTTGATAGGTTGTCGAGAGCAAGGGTGGTGTGCACTAGTATTAGAGTTTCCGTGCTACTGAACTTCAGTGCTCAAAGAAGCTTGTTGAGTGTGAGTGGCAAACGGAGTGGTGGGGGAGGGGGGAGGGGAGATGATGGTGCCTACAAGTATTAGAATTCCCGTACTATTGAACTCTAGGGGAATGATTCGAGGAAAGATCTTGAGACTGAACTCATAGTGGCCTGATTATACGGGCACATTATTGCAGCAGTGCATGCCAATAAGCATTATAAATAAAATTGAACGCGCATTAAGAAACCTTAAGAAAAGGACAGCACCCGGACCTGATCAAATAACAAATCAAATAATAGTACACTTGGGTACATATGTCCTTTTGTCACGCTGTGTGCTAGTTTCAATAAAAGCCCTTTCTTCAAGACCTTGTCACATTCTTTTGGGTAAGTCGAAGATTGTAGCTAGCAGTTTGTATTTTATTCTGGAAAGTATCATCGATTTCTTGAGTTGAGTTGAGTCAAGAATTGACATCACAGCACGCGGGGCATTCCCATGCATACCCCGTCCTCATTTTCAGCAGCCAGCGCAAAGTTCCAATACTGATTGTACCGGTCACATCGATTTCTTGTGCGAGATAAAAGGTTTGGTCATCACTGCTTCTGCATTTTCTGAATCCTGATTGGCTGTCGTCCAGTATGTTTTTTTCTTCTTCCAGGAAATTGAGTAACCTGTTGTTGACTAGTCTGTCCATTGTTTTTCCAAGAAGCTTAGAAGGTTCAGGGGTTGTAGCTAAATTTGTTTTCCCAGGGCTTCCATATATTTGCCATAGCGACTATTTCTGTCTCCTTCCGTTATTTTGGAAATACTCATTGGGTCCAGGATTGGTTAATAAGGTCTAGGAGTCGTTGTAGACAAGTGAATTATCATTTCATTTATTATTTCGTCATGTCCAGGGGCTTTCATTTCTTAAGTTCTCTAAATGACCGCTCAAGTTCTTGGAGATTGAAAACTTTGTTAAGTTCTTCCTTCACTTCTTTTTCTGTCGGCCAGTAGGTTTGCTGCTTGTTTATGAATTAATGTTTGTTTCCACCATCTTTAATGACAGTGTTGGCTTGGATGGTAAGTTTCCCTTCATTCAACTCTTCGCAAGATGCCATAGTTTTGCACTGTCTTTTTCCATGTTTAGAGATGCAGTTAGTTTCCCTGTCATCTTGATCAGATTCATGCGAGTTTTTCTCTTCGGTAATTTGCCTGATGTTGTCGTGTTCTATACAATTAGAGGGATCGTGCTCCATTATATTCTTACTTCTGTGCTTGTTCTTTCCAATAGCTGTTGCAGTTCTTGTGTACAGAAGTGTTCCTAGTTTTGCTGTCGGCCTCGAAGAATTGATTTTTTTTTTTTTGGGTTGGGGGAGGGAAAAAAAAAGGGGGGGGGGGGGGTTGCTGCCTTAGGTATGATCTTTGTAAGAGTCATGGTGTTTTCCCTAACTTCATTTGCTGGAAAGGGCTCCAATAGTTTCTCTTCTGTTAAGTTTTATTTTATAGTGGTCCCAGTCTGCTTTCTTGTAGTTCCAGCTAGCTATCTGCTTCCGTTTTTCTGGTGTCTTGACCTCTTCTATTATAAACATGACTCGCTTATGACCATTTGCTCCCAGCTGTTTCATTTCTTATCAGTCTCCTTTGTGTTCGCCGTGGCCTAGAGTAGAAGGCTGGTTCAGTCAGGTTCATTGATTAGTATCAGCAGGTTTTCTACGACCCATTCCTCTTTGACTGTCAGGTTTTCAAAACTACTCTTACTTCTTGAGATTTTTGTGGCTACAATAGAATGTTTAAATAGTGTTACGCCTTCTTTGTTTCATATCCTGTTACACAGAAGCGATGAGTTTCCTGAATGCAGGCGACACAAATCTTATTTTCTTATAAAAACGTTTGCATTTCGAGCTTTTTTCTCATGAATTCTTCTGCTCTTCTGCCTTCCATCACATGGTTTGTAATTATCATGGTACCCTGATTCTCAGAGCTACTGTCGTAGTATTGGGGGAAACGGGGGGGGGGGGGGGGGGGGGGAGGGTTGTTTCGACATAATCCAGCGCTGTTTCCGCCTGACAGTAGTCCGAAGTAACAGCCCAGTGGCTTTTATTTGGCTTTGACTTCTGTTTCTATTACTTGGTGCCCATGCAATTCTGGCCGGCATGTTAAGGAAGCTATGAAGATACTCTTTCCATGTCCTGGTTGGTCTAAATACTGTCTGTCAGATATCAGAGGTTGTATGAGTTTCTTTCTCCGCCATTGATTATCAAGTGTGGGCTCCCTGGGCGTGGCCTCGGTGAGTCTCGAGACGTTTTCTTGAGCCGATGGCCCCAGCATCGCTAGCACCTATCAGGAAGTCAGACTCTACTGAGGATTTATGGTTTAACTTCAAGCTTCTGATGGTTGATGGATGAGAAGCTTGACGTGAACTATTGGAAAATATCGCTACCGTGGCGGTAACAGTTTGTTCACTTGTTATCCATAGTATCGGTCTCCAACCATACCTAATTTGGCTGTTACAAAAACTCGTCTACATAATAGATACACATCTCATAAATCCATTTGGATCTGTTAAAGGTGAGATCTCTGTATGCTCTTTGGGTCTGTCAAAGGTGAGATCTCTGTATGCCGTTTGAATCTGTTAAAAGTGAGATCTCTGTATGCCGTTTGTATCTGTTAAAGGTGAGATCTCTGTATGCTCTTTGGATCTGTTAAAAGTGAGATCTCTGTATGCCGTTTGAATCTGTTAAAAGTGAGATCTCTGTTTGCTATTTGGATCTGTTAAAAGTGAGATCTCTGTTTGCCGTTTGTATCTGTTAAAGGTGAGATCTCTGTATGCTCTTTGGATCTGTTAAAAGTGAGATCTCTGTATGCCGTTTGAATCTGTTAAAAGTGAGATCTCTGTTTGCCGTTTGGATCTGTTAAAAGTGAGATCTCTGTATGTTGTTTGACATACACATATTTCACAACATGGTAACATAAAAGCAATTTCAAAATCGCTTGAACATGTTTATTTTCAGACCTTTTCACGGCTGTAATGAAAGTAGCCCACAACACCTCAGTCTCGCAGATTAACGCACTGTCTCTAGACGACTGTGCTTCAGCATGTGTCCTCGCACCCAATTTTATTTGTAACAGCTTTGACTATTGTGTGGATACATCAATTCCGAACTGTCTTTTGGGAACCCAGCATGCTGAGAGTGAAGGGGATAGCTCAAGTTCCAATGGACCTTGTACACATTTTTCTCGTAAGTACTTAATAGATGTATATAAATAATCTCATAGACTAGATCAGTATTTGACCTACTGCAGCATTATGTATGAAGCAGCGATCCCTAAAACTCTGCACTGGATATCATATCTTTTGAAACTATACTTTCCAAACGGTGTCGACCAGGTCTTTCTGTCTATTACATGAACATTTGTTACAGCTACCTCGTTAACGGTTTACTTTGCTATATTACTCTCTATTATTATTGTTTAAGTGAATAGTGTGAAGTTGACACCGGTATGAAACGGGAATGCAATTTATCTCCTTTGTTATTTGGCATAACCCTTAACTGCTAATCCAAAAGTCTTGTGTTGGAAACACCGGCATTGACTGGGTGAAAAATACACATTGGAATATATCGAGTTTGCAGATGTTATTGTTTCGCAATACAAAACAGCAATGACATGCAAAGAAAAACAGATCATTCAGCAAATATAGCATCTAGGGTTGGACTACAAATTAGTTACGAAAATACAAATATATTGAAGACGACAACAAATGAAGCGGATGTTTCATTAGAGACAAAAGTATTTAGAATAAATGTTCAGTTTTCTTTTTTAAGTAGTCATTTCGATATTAGAGGAAATAGTTAGTTAGTTAGTCGAGGTTTCAACATCACCCCAATCGGGTTTCCCCGATTTTTACTTGTTCCGTTTATGTGCCAGTGCGAATCAAATAAAATGTCGCTTACTGTTGCATATGAACAAGGTTTGAATAAACAACTAGTTCCGGGACAATCCAGTTCCGGCTACTATACGCACACGTAGAATTTTTACATACGGTATTTCACCAGCTCACACGTAAACCGGCCACTGGCCGTATTGAACAAAGCGACACAACAGCTGCAAGGAAAAATAAAACGGCATTCCACAGGTAAAACACAGCTCACAGGGCTGCAACCAAGCACTAAAATCAGTAGCTCAGGCAACGAAACCGTAGACTACCGACCTTTTTCGGAAACTGCATTAGCAAAGGGCTGTCGGAAACAAAAACTAACTTCGAAGCTTAACATTCTGCCGAGCCTTTCCTCCATTTTAGTCGGAAGTCCATTAAAAGAAATAAGAAGAAAACCAATTTTGACACGCTTTTCGACACGCATTGGCAAGGCATCAGCCACTTTTAATAGCCTAAACAAAATATGCAACTCTAAATTGTATAGTCCGAAAACCAAGTTACGTATTTTCAATTAAAATGTTGCTTCACCTTTAACACGTGCAAGAGAAAGTCGAAGACCCACTAAAGGCAGGGAACGAAAGTTAACTGCATCCGAAAACAAGTGTTTGAAGGAAACGATAAAAATAGAACGGGAAGACTTCAAACGGAGTGAAGAAATAAAAGAAGTGTCGGGGCAACCACTAGTATAAACAGTTAGAAGACAGAGAAGATGGCGTTACATTGGACACATCCCGAGAAGAAACTAGCAGATAATCTCCAAGCGCGCATTAAAATGGAATATAAATGTATTAATTAGGCAAAGACACCCAACAAGTTTATGAGAGACGCCAAAACTGCTGGCTGGATTTTAAACCATGATATAGAAACGATAGTATAGGATTTAACAAAATGGCATTAAATGGTACAAAAGGATAATGAAAGAATCAATGTATGAATGAATACTGTACCATGTTTTATTGTTTGCAAAACATGTGCTAATTAATTTTGAAGATAACACATTTCTCCTGCTTTTCTTGTGTCTTTCTTCTCCCCACCGGCTAAAAATGGTGTACAATGCCTTAACTAGAGAATGCCAAGTTGTTTGGATACTTGTTCATAATTCTTTGGATACTAGCTGTACCCGGCTACGTGTTGCCGTGGCCCAGTCTGGCTAAAAGGAAAAGAAAGAAAATAGAAAGGGCACGTGTCTGATATGGCTAATTTTACAATCATTGTCCTTGCAACATTTAATTGTGTCTTTATAATGCCCTTTTTTAATTTCGTATTCATTCGTTTAATGTGTATTATTAGGTCAGAAAAAATAGTTATTTGTTTATCATATGCTAAGAAGTTTTAGCTGCAAGTTAACTACTGTACGTCTAACATCCTTGCCCCCCCCCCCTTCCCCCCAAACAACCAAAAAAAAGTGAGAATAGCTGAGGTATGGTTTTTAAAATATGAATAATTAAAAAAAGAAAAAATGTAATATCATATTTCAAGCTCTTTTAGTTAACAGTTTCTG